GGAAGAGTGGGGAAGAGTGGGGAAGAGTGGGGAAGAGTGGGGAAGAGAAGGAGACAGGCAGATGGTGAGAGAAAGAATGAGCACAAGGAAAGAAGAGGACAACAGCAGGGAAGGAGAAAGAGAGAAAAAGAGAAAAAGGAAAGAAAGGGAGCAAGAGCACAAGGAAGAGAGGGATAGATAGGTAGAGAGACACTGAGTGGGGAGGTAGAGGGGAAATGGGCAGGAGGGGAAGAGGAACGAGGGAAGAGAGCAGGGAGAGAGGGGGAAGAGAGAAGACAGAGGAGGAATAAATGGCTTGTCCATGAGCTGCAGGTACCTTGCGACTACACAAGACCAAAAGCACTTTACCTGGAGTGCACAGGACATCGAAGATGAAGCTGGCCAACATGAGTGGCAGAACCGGCCTGTAATCACAGAAACTGCCTTCCCTCAGCTGCTCTGCCCTCTCCCGTATCGTGTTCATCTCATTCACCCCCAGTGGGATCTTCTTCAATAGTGCCACAATCTCAGATTCCTGGTAGGCTAGCTTCACCTGAAAAACCGGGATACTTTTGAGGACACACAGCCACATTTGTATGGCACGATTACACAAATCGGTGATATTAGCAGTCATCCAGCAAACTGCTCAGATATTCTGGGGTACAAGCTGCACAGGAACGTCACAAACATAGCTCCTTGCTGGAAAGGAACGTGACACCAAACAAAACAGCAAATAAACTCATCCTGCATGGTGGAAGTAGCAGAAAACATGTTAAACTTTGTATCATCAAGTATACGGATAGAAGATAGAATTTCAGCTCAGCACAAAACCAACATCCAGAACATGGGATTCTTCATCAATTTATCATTGAATCCCAACAGTGCAAAAAGAGGCCATTCAGCCCATCGAGTCTGCACCAACACTCCAAACAGTATCCCACCCAGACCCACCCCCCTTACCTATCGCTATAACCCTACATTTGCCCATGGCTAACCCGCCTAGCCTACACAACCCTGCACACTATGGGTAATTTAGCATGGCCAATCCAACTAACCTGCACATCCCTGGACTGAGAGAGGAAACCGGAGCACCTGGAGGAAACCCACGCAGACACGGGGAGAATGTGCAAACTCTACACAGACAGTCACCCGAGGCTGGGATTGAACCCGGGACCCTGGTGCTGTGAGGCAGCAGTGCTTACCACTGAGCTGCCTATGCTTGCTGAACTGTCGTTCCCACGAGGGGAGAATCAGCAGATTTGACCAGGACTTTTGCTGCCGCTTAAGCAACTGCTTGAACAACAGCCACGTGACCGTGCTTGGTGATGGCAGGCTGGCACGAGCACGAGCACGGGAGGTGGAAGAGAATTCAAGGGCACAGTGAGCCTGCTCATACGGTGCACTTCAAAATCATTGGTGGAATGTTCACTTCACCCTTCCTGAAGGAATATGGTGGGATTGGGGTACAATGCTGGATTGACATTCTGCCTGGTTTTACTTTCCAGAAGTCAACACCATAAGATATAGGAGCAGAATAGACCATTTGGCCTATGGTGTCTGCTCCGCCATTCAAATCATGGCTGACGTTTCTCCACCCCATTCTCCCCATAACCCCTAATCCCCTTACCCATGTAGAAACTCTCTCTGTCTTAAATACACTCAATAACTTGGCCTCCACAGCCCTCTACTGCAATGAGTTCCATGGATTCACCACCCTCTGGCTGAAGAAATTCTTCATCTCAGTTCTAAAGATGAACCCTTCACACTCAGCCTGTGCCCCTAGGTCATAGTCTCTCCTACCAGTGGAATTATCTTCTCCATGTCCACTCCATCTAGGTCTCTCAGTATTCTGTAAGTTTCAATCAGATCCCCCCCCTCATTCTTCTAAACTCCATCGAGGATGACCCAGAATTCCTAATTGCTCCTCATATGACAAGCCCTTCATCCCTGGGATCATTCTTGTAAACCTCCTCTGGAACTCCTTCAATCCCAGCACATCCCTCCCTTAGATACGGGGCCATAACTATTCTCAATATTCCAAATGCAGTCTGATCAGACCCTTATAAAGACTCAGCTGTACATCTGTGCTCTTGTATTTAGCCCTCTCAATGTTGCTTTTGCCAAAAATAAACAATATTGTCAAGATAGTTTCATGGCCACCAATGCTCAGAGTAACGTCCAATTCCAGATTTTATTAACTGAAGTTTTATTCCACCAGCTGCCATGGTGGGACTCGAACCATTGCCCCAAGGATAATTAGCGATAGACAATGAATGCTGACCACGCACGTCCCATGAACGAATAAAAGAAAATGAACTGGGTTAACATTCCCCTTCCAGAAAGGATATGGCAGAGGTTATAGTTCTGAAGAAATCCATGCCCTTTCCTTTTGTATATTCCACACTCAAACCACTCCCGGTGTAAAAAACATTTGTCCCTCAAGTCTGTTTTAAATCTCTCTCCTCTCACCTTCGAAAATATGTCCCCTAGTCTTGAAATCCTCCACCCCAGGCGTCCACCATTCACCCTATCTCTGTCCCTCATGATTTTATAAACCTCTATAACGTTACCTCTCAACTTCCTATGTGGAAAATGTCGCAGCCTATCCAGCCTTTCTTCATAACTCAAACCTTCCATACCCAGCAACATCCCAATAAATCTTTTCTGAGCCCTCACTAGCTTAATAATATCCTGGACACAGTACCCCACAAGAGGCCTTGCCAAGGATAGAGAAGATAGCTCCAGAAGTAATTTTTTTTGTTTAAATTGTCATTACAAGAAGTTCAATGACAGTATTTTTGAGTTGCTCACCTCCAGGGCTTTCGTTGATGCTGGTGGTCTCTGCAATTCTAGGGAAAACATTCCAATGCTATAGGCTAGATCGTGGAGCTCCTGCCTTTCACTGAGGACTATCAACAGGAAGGCAGCTTTAGCCAGGGTGTTGGTAGCAATCAGGGTCTGCTTGTGAGTCGAAACCTTGTTCTTCTTGCCCTGAAATGGAAACACATTTACATTTGCCAATGCTGTGATATGTTTGATTGGGTCAAGGACGGTTTAGGGTCAGGTGTGGAAAGGTTATATGGTCCCTAAGGATGTAAGGAAAAGAAACACATCAACTCCAGCCTCCCTCAATCCACTACAGTTTGTCTACCGACATAAGAGATCCACAGAAGATGGCATATCCCTACCCTGTGCTCATCCCTGGAACATCTGGACCATATACACACACCTACATCAGACTTCTGCTCGTTGACTACAGCTCCATCTTCAACACCATTATCCTCTCCAGACTGATTTCAAAACTGCATGTCCATGGTCTTGGCTCCACCCTCTACAACTGGATCCTCAGCTTTCTGACCCATAGGCCGCAACCAGTGAGGATAGGGAACGGCACCTCCTCCTCAATAACACTCAACACTGGAACCGCCCAAGGATGTGTCCTTAGCCCCCTACTGTACTCCGTGTACACCACGACTGTGTTGCCAAATTCCGAATGAACACCATCTACAAGTTTGCTGATGACACCACCATAGTGGGACAGATATCTAACAATGACAAATCAAAATACAGAAGGGAGACAGAGGGTTTGGTGACATGGTGCAATGAAAACAGTCTGTGTCTCACGGTCAGCAAAACTAAAGAACTGATCATTGACTTCAGAAAGAAAGGAGAACACGCCCCCATCTACATCAATGGAACTGAGATTGAGAAGGGTGCAAAGCATCAAGTTTCTCAGAGTGACGATAACCAATGACCTGTCCGGGACTTTCTATGTAAATGCGACAGTCAAGAAGGCACAACAACGCCTCTTCTTCCTCAGGCAGCTCAGGAAATTTGCCGTGTCCATAAGGCCCCTCACCAACTTCTACAGATGCACCATTGAAAGCACACTGTCCGGGTGCATAACAGCCTGGTATGGCAACTGCTCTGCCCAGGACCGATAGAAACTACAGAGGGTGGTGTGCACAGTCCAGACCATCACGGAAGCCAGCCTTCCATCCACGGACTCCATTTACATGGCTCGCTGCCGCGGAAAGGCGGCCATCATCATCAAAGACCCATCGCACCCTGGTAATGACCTCCTATGATCTCATACAACCTCTTCCGTCAGGCAGAAGGTACAGAAGCTTGAACCCACGCACCAGTAGATTTAGGAACAGCTTCTTTCTGGCCATTATCACACTGTTGAATGGACTCTAGCCTCAAATAATGTAACCTGCAACGTAACCTGTATGCCTCGAAGTCTTTTTGATCTGTACATCCTTTGCTTGCTGTGATCTGCCTGTACCACTCGTAAACAAAGCTTTTCACTGTATTTTGGTACACGTGATAATAAAATCAATCAATCAGCAGTATGTTATGTAGCACCTCGATCCTGTCCCTTCATTCAATAAGATCGTGATTTATCTACAACCTTAACTCCACTTTCCTATTCTGCCCACACATGCTGGAGGCCTAAGTATCCAAATTCAAACTCAAACACATTCAACAACTACGCATTCACTGAGGGTTCATAATCCTCTCAGTGAAGGCATTTCTCCTCATCTCAGTCTTAAAAGGCCATACTTTCACCTCAAGTCTATGCCCCCCATTTCTATTCTGTTCCACACAGAATCCATATAGAATCAATCCTTCTTTCCCACTCAGTCAATTGATTGCCAACTTTACTAATGATCAAGATATTTTTCCCCACATCTCCTGAACAAAATAATAAAGCAGTACTTTACACTCAATCATACAGAACATGCCTTTTTTTCTCAGTAATACTCATGTTGCTGAAGCCTTTCAACTTGGTTCATGATAAAGGCAAAAATGATCCACAATTTTACACCATGGAAGAAAAAGATGCCAATTCATTGGCAAGTCAACTCTGATTGGCCTAGATGTTGCCATGGAGAACGTGACAGAGAATTACAAGCTCCCCCAAGCCTCTGGGTAAGTCAAAAAATGCGAGAGACTTGAACATATTCCTTTTGTTTACAGGAAATAGGTCACTGTTGTTACGAAGTTGGATAGAGTATTCATGAATTGGAAAGCAGGGACTTAGAGCGCTTGGTTAAAAAAGAGATAGTGGGGAAAGAGAGTGCCTGGTCCTTCTTAAGAGATTGTGCTTTGTCTGTGCCTGGAAGTTTACAAGTATGGTGCACAGAGTGTGCCTGAATCGAAACAGTTTATATCGAAGAGCCAAGCAGAATTTATACCAAAGCAACAAGTTTGAATTGGACCAATAAATTTAAACCAAGCACTCAGCGATCCAAAGCCAATTGGATTTAAAAACTGATGCTGTTGATAACATTGAACCAATGCTACGTAAGAAATACTATGTCATTGCAGGTATAAAGATGAGGGCATTTAGAAAATCGGCAGAGAGCCAACTGCCATTGGAGGGGACAGTCAAACTTCAGCCACCCCGGAAGCAAGTCTGCCATCCGAGATACAAACCTGGCTTTCACATAAAATTATTGAGCTCTCTGAAAAGACCCATTAGAGGTACCACAGCGTTTTAGCTCAAAATCCTCATCAAAGAAATTAAAGAGAAAAACATCCAAGACAGCAGAATCAGCGAAAGAAAAGTGTTTGTGACGTGAAATCAACAGAAGGAAGATTGGAGATGCAGCGGTGAAGACGTAGACTCTGTGAACTTGGGGAGATTTTTTTTAAAATTTTTTTTTAAATTAACTGGGTTTTTACAAGTGGGACTTGTGTTTATTTGAACAGCATTTCAGTAAAATTTAGACCAGTTAGGAAGTAGTTACTAGTCTAGGGGGGGGAATTGTTCAGTTTGTTAGTGATTCTGTTAATTTGCTCATTGTCAGGGTTAAACAAGTAAATTGTTACTCATTATTTGTCAAGTGGAGATCAGGGATTTTTTTTCTTTTAACAGATTGCAAGGGAAAGGCGAGCTTCTCTGGGTGTTTCAGGGGTAATTATTATAAAGGAACCTCTACCCCCGTCATAATACATTGGGGCTTGTGTTTTGGTTTAACTATCAAAGGGGTTCGGCCATTCCCCCTTCATAACACTGTGTACAAAAGTGCGTAACTTTTCGCAAGTGTAGAACAGCCACATAAACTCAACTGATTATTTCAAATTGGTTGTTAGTACAGCAATCAGTGCACAAGGGCTTGCCTAGCAAACATCGAACCACATCTAACTACAGATATTTTGTTTTAGCATTCTCACACTTGTCCTGATGAGTGCAAGTTGAAAGGCTTTAGCAGAAGGTCTCATTCCCAAAATACACTACATTTGCTTAAATCTCAAGTCCCCTTCTCAGCACGCATCAATCCCAAGAGAAAGAAAAAGGTCTTTGGAAATCTGTTCCACCTGTCTACTGGTCCGTAGGAATGTTTTACAATTCATTCGTCTGAATCTGTTCAATATCCTTCTTGCTCTGTCAATTACTATTTCGCACCTGTATTCAACTTAATGATGTGTGCCAATGTGCTTTATAGCCACAGGGTACTGCTTCCCCTGCAAAGCACTCAATGCCACCAAATAATATTGTGGACAAGGGAGAGAAAAAAAAAAATTCACAATTACAGGTGGAACAAAAGATAGAATGAAATAGATAGTCAGAAGTCACACGACACCAGGTAATAGTCCAACAGATTGATTTGAAAACACAAGCTTTCTGAGTGCTGCTCCTTCAGGAGCACCCTGAAAGCTTGAGATTTCAAATACATCTGTTGGATTATAACCTGGTGTCGTGTGACTTCTGACTTGGCCCACCCCAGACGAACACCAGCACCGCCACAGAATGAAGGTAGACTTGGACTTGCTCACTAACGTGCAGGATGTCATTGCCAAGACAATGACAAACAGGATAACCCATTCATCCTGTCAAACACTCTGAAAGGGCTATCCAATTCGCAGCACCTCCAATAACCCCACAAATATTTTCTTTCTGAGCGTGGACTTCCTGTCTTGAGGTGATTCCTCAAAGTGCAGTCCCATTGCGGCTAAACACTTAAGAAAAACTGTAATGCTTGAACTTTCAGCTTTATTTCTTTATTTTCTACCAAGAAGGTTTACAATGTGTAACTTTTAATATTATTTTGTATGTTTTGTAATTAATGCAATGTTTAACTTTTAACTTTCTTCTTTCTTTCTACCTTGTTCTTAAGATTCTGTGCCTAGGTACTTGTACCTAAGCTGGCAACTGTATAGTGACATTCTACACTTTTCACTGTACTTTTGTACTTGAGGATACGTGCCAATAAAATCAATTCAAAATTTACCAAATCTCTCTTGGAAGTTCTTGTTAAATTTGCTTCTGCCACCCGGTCAGCCAGCATGTTCCACATTGTCATTACACAATGTGTTTAAAATAAAAAAGTTCCCTCATCCCCACTTTTGGCCTATTGTCAATCATCTTAATGCTTTGCAATGTAAAAGCAAAATAGCAACTCAGGTAGTTCGCATCACGCCAACTAGGATGTATTGACATCATTTTTATCCTGTTCTGGACCAGACCAGACCCCCTCAAAATGTATTAAAATGATAGCCTAGACTCTAACTTTTTTTTTTATTTCAGAGGTAAATGTGAGGCGCTGTCCTTCAGATGCAATTTGATTGGTTAAACTACTCGACGTTAAGCAAAACACAATTTATTCAAACGCTATAGTTAAAATGCAATGAAAGAAAGAGGAACTTGGAATAACTTAACTCTAATGGAAAACTTAACAGAATAATACGTTATTTTACTACTAAACAGTAACTGTTCCAATATAGTAACATCCCACAAACACACCCTTAGCAAAAGGGCAAATTCAGAAAATAGATTGTCTCACATGATGTTCTCCAATTCAAGAGGAAAGAACAACAGAAGACAATTCTGAAAGAGAGAGTATAGTAGCCAGGAGAGATTCACAGCCTTCCGTCCCTGCTGAGACCCCAGCAACAACTGCTGAAAGCTAAAGATCCTGGTTCCGTGGGTGGGAGCTTGACCATGCCCAGCCAGGCTGCTTCTATTGTTCCAATTTTAAAAAGAAACCCACCCAAGGCTTCACAAGTTCTTTATCTTCTCATGGACTGCTTGGCGCATTTGCCTTAAACCCTCACTTCAAAGGAAAACGGACAAAATAACGTCTTAAAGCCACAGTCTCATCACAATCCAAGTGCAAGCTCTACTTTGAGTCCCATGCAGAGTTTTGCCAATGTGTTCAAACTGAAGAATGTTGGAACAGTACACTTAGATCATACCCTTCACTTTTCACAGTTTGAGTACTTGTACATGTCAAGGTAAGAGAAAATTCCTGGTGACATCTACAGTTTCCATTTGAGGTGGCAACAGTGTGAAGGCACTTTGAGGTGACGAATTAAAAGCATCATTGAGGGTGCTTTCTACAATCAAAGCTTCACCGATTTATTATTAATTCAAATCAGAATATTTTCATAACTATTCTGAATATTTTCCCTGTGGTCACAGAGTTACATCAAAGATACTGCACAAAAACTGGCTATTCAGCCCATCTGGTCTCAGCGAGCATTTATGCCTCCATCCATCCTGCTATCGTATTCTGGTGTTGCTTCCTCTATCCTGTGTTTATCCAGCTTCCACTTAAAAAGCCTCTATGATATCTGTCTCAGCTGCTCCACATTCTCACCAATCTCTGGGTAAGGTTTCTCTGGAACTTCTATCTAATTTCTACAGCCAATAGTTTCAGGTTTCCCCCCAAAGTGGAAGCATTTTCTCTGCATGCACCCAATCAAAAACCTTTTCCTAAATGTAAGCACCTCCATTGGGTCCAGCAAGTAGACTGCATTGGTTCCCAGTCTTGGCAACACTTCCATTTGAAAGGAGTCGTCCTTGTATTGGCTTTGCGCCCCCCCCCCTCCCCCATAAATCTCTGCAAGTTGCTCCAGCCTCCAATCCTTCAAGAGCTCTGCGCTCCCCCAGTTCTGACCTAACATGCATCTTCTCTTTTTATCATGACTTCACCTGCCCCAATTTTTTGGAATCCCCTCGCCAAACCACTTCGACTCTCTCCATTCTCAAATCCTACCCCGTTCGACAATCTCTGTCCTCTTGTCTTTCGGAATAGTTTGGCATCAGCCACTGACTTTCCAAAGTTAAGCTATGGAACCCTTTAGGACGCTTTACTGTGTTAAAAGTGCTACCAAAATGCAACGGGCTGTTAAATAATCATAGATATGGATTCACAATCATTAAAAGTTTCGAACGCCATGCTTAAATGACTTACTTAGAAAGAAAATCACAATAAAACAAGCAATGACCGGAAATCGATCAAATATTGAAGTTTTTGTGCTTACCTTTGTCTGGGGCTGTTCCACCTTCAAATCCGGAGGATTGGCCAGGAGGTCTCTGGCGAGATCAATTGCCAATCGGCAAGCTTCGTTATTGTAGCCATGAGCATAAAGAGCCTCTGCACAGGCAAATAATACCTACAGAAAACAAGTTTAAACTGTAGCTGCAGCAATGAACCAAGAACTGGATAAAAGCTGGTGCTGGAGGCAAAGATATCCATCTTCCAGCTGCTCACTAAACCAGCACATTTCTCTGAACTCTCTAGCTTTATGGCTGCTGTGGCTCAGTTGGTCGCGCCCACAACCCCATGTCATAAAGTCCTGGGCTCTTGTGCCTCCCCAGAGACCAGAGGACAAAATGGGCGTTCCCCTGCAGTACTGAGGGAGTGCTGCACTGTCAGAGGTAGGTCTTTTGGACGACAGGCTAATCTGGGCATCTATCCATCTTTTTAAATGGCTCCACGAGATCCCACTACGTCATGTTGACGAGCAACAGGGGAGCCCAGCATTCAGTCCCTCAAACATCATCACAAAGATTGATAACCAAACCATTATCAATAGGTGATTGGGAGCTTTCTGCACTCAAATTGCCTGCTGTGTTCCCTACATCACAACAGTAACCACAATTCAAAACTTACCCCATTAGCTATAATGCACTTTCTGACATCCTGAGGTTGTGGAAGGCACTATATAAATGCAAGTCTTTTGTCTTTCAATATGGATTACCCAAGGGGGAGGTTTACAAATGTGTGCTCATAATCTCATTGCCTTCATACTTGCAGATCGAAAATTACTACAAGCGAAAGTTAGGAGAAAAATACCCTATCCTTAATCGTCCTAAATTTCCTCATCACTAACACACAGGGAGTACAGTCCCTAGTTTGTAAACAGACTCTGATATGGAGTCCGCTCGCAAGTCAGAACACAATGCAGGACACAATAAAATAGCTGTTTGCAAGTATGAGGAAACGGTCATACGTTAGATCTTCAAAATTAAACTTCTGTATGGGATCGTGTTTGTAAGGACGAGATGCTATAAGTACGAGAGTTTGTAAGAATGAGTATCATAAACAGAGGGACCCCTGTAGCAGTTCACTTGTTTCAAGGCAACTAACCCAGGTTATTGGTCTAAAACTGGGTCCGGGAGAGGATAATTAGATTGCAATAAGAAAAGGAGAAATCTAGAATTGCTGGAAGTCTGGCATAAAGACAAAAACTTCGAGAATGCTGCTTGGCCTGCTGTGTTCATCCAGCTCTGCACCTTGTTGTCTCGGATTCTCCAGCATCTGCAGTTCCTACTATCTCTGAGAAAACACCTATCAGGTTAGTCAACCATTCATATGCAAACAGTTATAATGAGTCATTTTGTTTTGTAGATGTTAATTGATCTGTTGTCTACTTCCAGCATCCAGAGTAGGACAGCATTATGTAAGGTACAATACATCAGACTGGAGGCAGTAACACTGCTGCATTTCTTTACAAGAGAAGATTCTTGTCAAGATGTGACTGCCATTAACTATTTATTGCCTGGAACCAGTTACCCTTGAGAAGGGATGGGGAGCCGCTGAATTTTGCATGGAGGAGATGGTCTTCAGGTGATCCTGCAGTGAGTCGCAGGATTTAGTGACCCAGTGATCATGTAGGGTGCTAGAGTTCCAGGTTGGAATGGCATGGGACTTGTGTCATAGAGTCAAACTGGAGTACCCTCAACAAGATATATGGCAGCAAATGGTCAAACCTCCTATAAGAGCGCCTCCCAAAGTCACAAGCTCTGGAAAGTTGGTAAGCTCAGCGGACCTCGACTAGCTGCAGCTTTCCCTCAAGGCATGAGAGATATGCCTAGCTTGCTTTCAAGGGAGGATCATCAGGAAAACAACTGGAGAGGGTTCGGAAAACACTTACAAGGACGTTGCCAGGACTGGAAAATTAAAGGCACGAGGACAGGCCGGATAGGCTGGAACATTTTTCACTGGGGTATAGGAGGTTGAGAGGTGGTTTATAAAATCATGAGGGGGCGCAGATAAGGTGAATCACAAAAGGTCTTTTCCCCAGGTAGGAGAGTCTGAAACTAAAGGTGAGAGGGGAAAGATTTCAAAAGGACCTGAAGGGCAACTTTTTCATACAGAGGGTGGTTTGTATGTGGAATGAACTGCCAGAGGAAGTAGTGGATGCAGGCACAGTTACAACATTTAAGACATTTGGACAGGTACATGAATAGGAAAGGTTTAGAGGGATTATGGGCCAAATACAGGCAAGGGGGACTAATTTTATTTGGGAAACTTGGTCGGCGTGAACAAATCAGACTTAAGGGTCTGTTTCGTTGCTGTATGACTCTATGACACAAGTCCCATGCCATTCTAACCTGGAACTCTACCAACCCAGTTCCTTCATGCTCACTGGGTTACTAAATTCTGGAAGTCACTGCGGAATCACCTCAAGACCATCTCCCCTACACAGAATTCAGTGGCTCCCCATCCCTTCTCAAGGGTAATTGGTGCCAGCCAGTAAGTGGTTAAAGGCAGTCACATCTTGACAAGAATCTTCTCTTAAATAAAGAAATGGACAAGCCGGTGGCTCAGTGGTTAGCACTGCTGCCTCACAGCATCAGGGACCTGGGTTCAATTCCACCCTCAGGCGACTGTCTGTGTGGAGTTTGCACATTCTCCCTGTGTCTGTGAGGGTTTCCTCTGAGTGCTCCGGTTTCCTCCCACAGTCCAAAGATGTGCAGGGTAGGTTGATTGGCCATGCTAAATTGCCCATAGTGCCCAGGGACGTTTAGGCTAGGTGAGTTGGAGGGGATGGGTCTGGGTGGGATGCTCCGAGGGTCGGTGTGGATTTGTTGGGCCGAAGGGCCTGTTTCCACACTTGTAGGGATTCTATGATCTATGATCTAAGGCTGTGCTTCTTGGGAAACTCACAGTGGACGCTGGACGCCGGACGCTATGGCTGGCATAGTATAGTAGTTACAGTTCAAGACACTACTGACAATTGAGGAGGCAATGTTATAGCCTGGAAACATGGCAGTTGCTGCAGAATTTCATTGAAAGGTAGCAATTGCTAGCTGGTAATTGTATGAATAACTTGTAGCAATATACTTGAGTATTTTTCTAACAGCTGTGTTATACTCTTAGGGGAGTTGGTTAGCTCAGTTGGATGGACAGTTTGTGACACAGAGAGATGCCAACATTATGGGTCCAATTCCCACACTGGCTGAGGTTACCCAGAAGGACACTCCTTCCCAACCTCTCCCCTCGCATGTGGCATGATGACCCTCAGGTTAAACCACCCCAGTCTAATGAGACAGCAGCCTTGTTATAGCATTCAAACATACTGAAGATGTTAGTGCTCAATTTGATCTTGAAGCATTGTCTCATTAGGTTTAGCAATTCTCACGTCTGAACAGGACAGGAACCTGCCAGAGGCCATTTCCATCTTAGTAATACTTCAACAGTGACAAGAAACGGGATCGCGTTCTCAGGAAGTGCACAACTTTGACCCTTTATGAAGCACATGTGGGCTGCATTCTCAAACCCACTGGAGTTATTGTGGGGACGTGTATCTCCAAAAAAATAAATCAAGTTTTCAATTTTTACAATATAGTGCCTTCCAGAACCACACCAGGTGGCATTCAGGAACAGTGCAGAGGTCAGAGTTCACATGGCCACGGGGCAATAGCAGATTCCCATCGCTGAAGCACATTCAGGAAGTAATCGAGGTTGTTTTTAACTAAAAAAAATACTGCAGAAGATTCCCAATCACTATTCTCCTGATTAAGTTCCATTCCATTACTTGCCATGATAGAATTTGAACTCATGATCACCGAGTTGTTGATTCTGTGTTATAACCGTGGCCATAATCTGTGCCTAACAGCTAGGAGCAGGAGTAGGCCATTCAGCCCCTCAAGCCTGTTTCACCATTTGGTACGATCATGCCTCATCTCAAAAACCAAAAGAACTGCGGTCGCTGTAAATCACAAGCTAAAACAGAAGTTGCTGGGAAAGCCCAGCAGGTCTGGTCTTTCCTGAGGAAGGGTCACCAGATCCGTAATGTTAACTCTGATTTTTCTTCACAGATGCTGCCAGACCTGCTGAGCTTTTCCAACAACTTCTGTTTAATGCCTGATCTCATCTCAGCCTCAACTCCACTTTCTTACCCACTCTCCATAATCCATGACAGATTTTTTTTTTAAAACCTATCTCCTCCTTAAATTTACTCAATCTTCCAGCATCCACCACACAGTGGGTGAGTGACTTCCACATATGCGTGCCCTTTGAGAGAAGTAATTCCTTCCTCGCTGTTTGAAATCTGCTACCCCTTATCCTAAAACTATGACCTCTCGTTCTAGATTGCTGCACAGGAGGAAACATTCTCTCTACGCTCTATTGGTCAATCGCTTTTAGTATCTTACTCACTTTAATTAGATTTCCTCTCATTTTTTTAAGCTCCAGAGAGTAGAGGCCTAAAACTGCTCAATGGCTCTACAAAAAAATCAATCCGCTCACCTCCGGATTTTAAAATTGAGAGACTACGTGCAGAAGATTGATTTACCTCCATCCTGCTCTCTTGCTCGAGCGGTTTCAAACCGGCGAAGATATCCTGTTCTTCTTCGTTACCTCCTTCTTTATTGCCCTCTTCCTTAGTCACTTCCTGCGGATTAAGGTAATAGACCTGATAGTCATCCTCCCCTGCGGCAGGACTCTCGGCAATTTCTGGCCCCAGGGTTTTGGACGAGGGGTCGGCCTTTGCCGGGGTTTCTGGCTCCCCGTTGCTCATTTCTTCGGGCGGCTCCCCAGGCTGCGGCTTGGCCGCACAGCCGTTGGTTTCCAGCCGGAAGCCCTCGGCAAAGAAGCCGTCGCTCTCGTCCGGGTACAAGTCCTTGAAGCTGCCGTCGTCAAAGTCGAAGGTGTTGGAGGCTTCGGCCCCCAGCGCCAGGTTGCCGTCATCCAGGCCGAGCTCCGCCAAGTCGGGCTCCAACGAGCTGTCCTCGCTGCTGGTCCGTCGTTTCCCTGAATGTTTGCCGGAGGAGCACTTCCCCTGAGGTAGTTTGCACTTGGTCGGGCCCGGCTTGTAAACAGGCTTCTCGGCCTCCGTCGCCGTTGACGACGGGCGGCCCACGTTGCCCCGGGACACATCAGATCCAGCCTTCCTCTTGGCCGCACCGTCCTTCGGGCGGACCACAGGCTCCGGTGGGCTCCTGCTTTTGCCGACGGAGGCGGGTTTGGGCCCGTTGCCATCCGGGCCCGTTGCCGTCGGCGTCGCCTTGCTGCCTGGCTCACAGGCCGAGTCAGCGCTGTGTGTGTCCGCACAGGCCTTGCTGCTTTTGTGCGGCACGGCCTTGGCCCAGCAGAAGGCGCTCTTCTTCTCTGTGCTGTTGTACGTGATTCCGGGAACGGGGAATGCCTCCTCCCAGCTGAAGTAGCAGGCCTCAATGGCGGGCTTGAAACCCTGGAAGAGTTTATCCAGCGACTTGCGGTGCTGGCCCCGCTTCACGATCTCAATCACCTTCAGGTGCCACTGCCTGAGCTGTGAGCAAAGTTCTCTCCTCCTGAGAAAAGACAAAAGGCAACGCCGCGATCACACACACACGCCACAAGAAAAACCATTCCGAAGCAAATCTCAAACATCACGTGTCCCATTCAGGGGGTCGTCACGCGAGTCCAATTAGCTTATTTCCTTCCCTCCCGACTTGAGCTACTTGTTTCCACAGCCAGCCCCAACCGATGCAGAAACTGGAACCCAATGCTCAAAAGGCGCGGGTGCAATGGATGAATCCGCATCCTCAAAATCGGGGAGATTCACCAACCCCATCCCACCCAACCAACCTTGCACAGTGGCAGGGGGAGGGCATCATTTGCAATGGAGCTCAGCGGGCACCTGCAAAGCCAGGGGAGGGCTGAGAGACACGGCTTTCAGCAAAGGAACACTCAAGCACCTGGGAAACCCGAGGCAATCAATTCCTCATAAACTAACGCAAACTATCTCGATTAGAGATGCAGGAGTTCAGGATCTACTTTATTCAGGGAGTGGGGAGGAAGGTAACAGGTGGCAGGGTGATGAACATGCTTTCAACAGCACAATGTAATACTGAACAGATTTATTCCATAATGATTTGTGGCATGGTGGCTCAGTGGTCAGCACTATCGCCTCACAGCGCCAGGAACTTGGGTTCAATTCCAGCCTCAGGTGACTGTCTGTATGGAGTTTGCACATTCTCCCTGTGTCTGTGTGGGTTTCCTCCGGGTGCTCCGGTTTCCTCCCACAGTCCAAAGATGTGCAGGTTAGGGTGGATTGGCCGTGCTAAATGGCCCATAGTTTCCAGGGATGTGCAGGCTAGCGTTAGCCATGGGAAATGTAGGCTTACAAGGATAAGGTGGAATTTGGGTCTGAGATGCTCTCCAGAGGGCTGGTGCAGACACAATGGGCCTAATGGCCTCTTTCCACTGTGTAGGATTCTATAATTTAGGTACTATCAACTATCTGAAAGCAACTTGCATGCTACAACTGAACTGAAGAGCAGTTGTTGTGTTAGAGATAAACACATACCCCATTTGGTTGTGACCTCTCTGATGTGCAGAAAGCTTGTTTGGAGTGATGGCATTTTGTATGTAGAAGTGTGTCAGTTTACTTTTAAAATGACAAATGTGATTCTTGCCAACTTTGAAAGATATGCTTATTTGGAAACTGCTGCATGCAGGAAGTTAATGCTTCCCTTGCATGTCATATTTGCAACATATGGGTCGGTGATGATTACTGGAAAGGGTGATGAATCTTTGTCATTCTATTTCTGTGGGAGCCCTGATTTCCCAGGCAGCAGCTCAGGAGTAACTGTATGAAAGGAATCATAGAATCCCTACAGTGTGGAAACAGGCCATTCGGCCCAACAAGTCCACACCGCCCCTCCGAAGAACATCCGAAGACCCATTCCCCTACCCCTGATTTCCCATGCCTAACTCACCTAACCTAAAATTCCCTGGCCACATGGACAGTTTAGTATGACCAATCCGCTTAGTCTGTACATCTTTGGACTGTGGGAGGAAACCCACGCAAAAACAGGGAGAATGTGCAAACTCCACACAGACAGTCGCCCGAGGCTGAAATCGAACCTGGGTCCCTGGCGCTGTGAGGCAGCAGCATTAACCACTGAGCCACTGAGCCACCGTGCCACCCTTCAGCTTGGACAGTATGTCACTTTGCTCCCAGCAATAGTTAAATCCTTTACCACCAAGCAGTAACTTGTAGTTGCCTACCCCTTTAATGCTAGGGACCCCCACGCTCGCTAAGGGGACATACTTTTGATTACCTTTGAGGACTCATGGTGGGATCCAGGACTGCCAGCCTCCACAAGACCACCATCTCATCACACATGCTGGCACAAGCATGAGCTGCCACCTCTGACTGACCATTACTCCGGCCTGTGTGACCACTGGCACTGCTGTGAGACGCGGAGGTCCGTACGCTGTACCACCATCCAATTATCTACAGGAAGAAAAACATTTGGAGCAGGAGAGAGCGAGAGAGAGAGAGAGAGAGAGAAAGAAGGAGAAAAGATCAGCTACACTCACTGAGTCTGAGTTCGCCGACTAAACAAAAACAAACGTTAAACTTGATCCTTTCATCTCTACGAGGCCGGGTCTGGATATTTAACGTACGCCCCTTTCGGGACTTCAGCAGTCTGTGTGATCATAATGGTTTGATAGGATGGAAAGGCTCCTCCAGATGGTAGTTAGCGCTGGACCGGGCCTATCTACAGCGGAGATGGCTCTGTGCAGGAGAACCGGCTGTCATAATGTGCACAGCAAGATCACAGTAATAGCACAACAGGGTAAAGGACCAGGAAACAAAACAGAAATTGCTGGAAAAGCTCAGCCGGTCTGGCAGCATCTGTGAAGGAAAAAAAACAGAGTTAACGTTTCGGGTCTGACCGACATGCAACACCAGCTCAGAACACACCCCGAGGTGTCCAGTCTGGACAATTTGCTCTAGCCCTGAAACGGGGCTTGAACTGACAACATTCTGACACTTGGATGAGCAGTGCAGCCAGAAGTCTCTTTATGAGGCAGTAACGTAAGGACTAGGAGCAGGAAGTAGGCCATTCAGCCCCTCAAGATGATTCAGAGTAAGGTTGTGGTTGACTAGTTCTGAGCCTCAATTCCACTTTCCAGCCTGTCTCTGCCTATAATTCAGGACCCCTCTTTGGTGAAAAAAATTGTCCATCTCAGCCTGGAGTATATTCAATATCTTGATCTCCATTGTTCTGTGGGATACGGATTTCCAAACTACACAAACTTCAGAGAAAGGTAATTCTCTTCATCACTCTGTTAAACGGGGAAGCTTTTATACTGATACTATGCCTTCCAGCTCCAGACCTCCCCAAGGGGTAAACATTTACCCCATCAGCATCCATTGGAGCTGCTGCAGTAGATTCTAACCAGAATAGTGGGTTTGACTATGAGAGGATTCTAGGGTCAAAAGCTACAGGAAAAGGATCAAAGGTTACTCAAGGCGTTGGCTGGGGACCTCCTACCTGCTACATTAGTGTGAATGTTTGCCTTTAGGAAGGGCAACATTGCCACTTCTGTGAATCTTAGGATGACATCAAAAACAATCCGTGGTGCGATTTCAGTCAATGCTTTGCAATTTCAAAAGACAAGTAAGGGAGCTTAAAACTAAGTTCTAAAAAGAAAAGGAAACTAATGTTCTTGTGGTTTGTACACACGACATAAACCACAGAGAGCCAGGCTCTCAATAAGTCAGATATCTGGAAACTTATTAACAACTATGTTCACTAATATTATGGCGCAGACTCTCATATCCAGCCTGGGCTAAGGGCTTGCTTCAATTACTATCACAGTACATACAGAGCCAACTGGTTGACTGGCTACTAACTGCTAATAAATAGAGTAGAGATGGAATAGAGTGTCACATTCATGATATTATTTAGTGGTCTCAAAGGCAGAGCCCTTCTTTGAGATAACACATCAGAAAGTAACCAGTTTCAGTACCCAAGAGAAAGTTGTACCAGTTTTGTTAAAAGTTTCACCATACTTCTCAGCACACTTACAGCCCTCTCCTGGAACATCCTTGTTCTGGTGACTCATCCTATTCGATTCTATAATTACAGAAACATAGAGGTCTACAACACTAAACAAAAGGCCCTTCAGCCCATCCTGTCCATGCCGGCCACAAACAACCATTCCAGTCCCAATTATAATGGGAAATAAAATTGGTGCACTCGTCTTAGGAGGAATTACACATCTCATTACTGAATTGTAGGTTTACACATAACTGTACGCAATCGCAGAGTGGGTGCTGCCTGGAACAAATTTGAATTATGACTCACTACTTCAAGCAAATGTGTATATAGACGTTCACAGGCCACACTGCTCCTGGTTGGTGACATTCTCAAGTGGATTGACAAGTCTGGTACACAACAGATTCAAAAGCAAATATAATGATCCGAACTGAGTACTACTGGATAAAGCAGATCCCAGAGTGAAATCTGGCATCTTCTAATTTAATGTTGTGGCCATTCACTGAAACATAGGTACACAAGGCTGACCACTTTCTTTAACAACAAACACAACTTCATTACCAAAAGAAACACAAAATGAAATAAAACAAAACAAAATAAGCTATCTAAATATAAAACTATTTTACGAGGTCTTAAAACAGACATCAAAATAATGTCTTCTCTATTACCCAATACCATCATTTCAAATCCAGATAAATTGTCCTCCTGTATCAAATCTTTAGCTTTGACTTAACTGCTTTTATCCAGTTCTGTTCTAGATAGACTAGATATTAAATGTTGTGGTTAGTTGACTCGCCAAGCTGGTTCGTTGTTCCGCAGACATTTCATTACCCTGCTGGGTAACATCATCAGTGCAGCCTCCGATGAAGCGCTGTAGTGTTTTCCCGCCTGTTATTTAAACTCCGGGGTCCGTTGAGCTGGGTTGTCTCACTTCCGGTTTTCCTTTGCAATGGAGTATATATGAGGTCTAGCTCTGTGTGTTTGTTGATGGCTTTCTTAGTGGAGAATCAGGTTTCTGGGAATTCCCGTACTTGGCCTGTCCCAGGATCCTGGTGTTGTCCCAGTCGAACGGGTCGTTCTCCTTATCCATGTGGATGGAGATGAGTGAGTATTGGTCGTGTCTTTTTGTTGCTAGTTGATGTTCGTGTACCCTTGTGGCTAATTTTCTTCCTGTCTGTCCAATGTAATGTTTGTCACAGTCCTTGCAGGGAATCTTGTATATGACATTGGTCCTGTCCATAGTGGGTAAGGGGTCTTTGATTCGGGTTAGCAGTTGACATAGGGTTGATGTGGGTTGTGTGCTACTCTGACGCCCAATGGTTGTAGGAGTCTTGTGGTCAGTTCAGATGTGTTCTTGATGTAAGGTAGTGTGATGAGTGTGTCAGAGCATGTAGTATCTTCCTGATGTCATTTGTACAATAGGCATAATCTGACTCAGTTTTTTGGGTATTCATTGTCCTCGAATACTTGGAAGAAGTACTCTTCTTCTGTTTGGTGTAGCTCTGTGCTGCTGCAGTGTGTTGTTGCTCATTTAAATATGTGTTCTCACGCAACTTGGTTTGTGTGTGTTGGGGTGATAGCTATTGAAATTCAGTACTTGGTCAGTGTGTGTGGCTTTCCTGTGTACGTTTGTTAGGAATTCTCCATTGGTCCTGCATTGCATCATGACATTCAGGAATGGGAGCTGTTTGTTCTTTCCTTCTTCCCTGGTAAATCTGATCCCAGTGACGGTGTTGTTTATTAGTTCATGTGTCTCCTCTAGTTTGGTCCATTTAATAATGACAAAGGACAGACAGGAAGGAAATTAGCCACAAGAGTACACGAACATCAACTGGCAACAAGAAGACACAACCAATACTCACTCATCTCCATCCACATGGATAAGGAAAACCACCAATTCAATTGGGACAACACCAGGATCATGGGAGAGGCGAAGCAGAGACAAGCACGGGAATTCCCAGAAGCCTGATTCTCCACTAAGAAAGCCATCAACAAACACACAGAGCTAGACCCCATACACACTCCATTGCGAAGGAAAACCAGAAGTGAGGTAATCCAGCTCAACGGGCACCAGAGTTTAAATAACAGGTGGGAAAACACAACGGCACTTCATCGGAGGCTGCACTGATGATGTTACCCAGCAGGGTAATGAAACATCAGCGGAACACCGAACCAGCTCGGCGAGCCAACCAACCACAACCCGAGCTACAAATCTACTCTAAAACCTTAGAGATATTAAGTGCATAAGGAGCATGGAGATAATGCAGGGAAATAGCACTGAGGTAAAAGATTGACTGTCATCTAATTGAGTGGTGGAGCAGGTTGGAGGGGCTGAACGGCCTACTCATGCTCTGAATATCCAAAGTTCTTATATTCAGCCATTTTCTGCAGAATTACAGTGATACTGTGCAGACGCCAAATGGCTGAGGAAGTAGTGGATGGGGGTACAATTACAATGTTTGAAAGACATTTGGATAAGTACGTGAATAGGAAAGGTTTGGAGGGATATGGGCTAGGAACAGACAGGTGGGATTGGTTTAGTTTGGCACGAACTGGTTCCGTGCTGTATGACTATGACTCTCTCCACTTCACCACTGTGCCATCACTTGTACATCATTGCAATTCCTGACACAGGCATGTTGGGCTGAATGGCCTCTTTCTACGCCACTGGGCCTTTCCTTTTTCCAGTACCACTTTGACCTTGCAATGCCAGTGCCTGGGACTAATGCATCCGCACCCCCCCCCCCACCCCACTAGCTCACGGAACCGCACATTCTAAAAAAGGGTCACACTCTGAGCCGAAGCCCAATACCTGCTCGTAGGTCAAACACTGGTCGGTGAGAATCTCGAGGAGGGGGGCTGCGTTGCTGTCACGGCGCTTGAACATCTCGCGGACAATCGACAGAAGATTCCAGATGCCCTCCGGTTCCCGTCCACGGAGGGGCCGTAGGAGGCAAGCCCACTCTGCAGCGGCTGGAGGCTCCGTGGATGACAAATACAATGAGTTGACATCACTGCAGTGAAAACCAAGACCTGTATTACCAATTGGTGACTGCCTCAGAAAGACAATAAGTGAAGCAACAAGGTCAGGATGGTTTGTGGGGGGGGTGGTCACTGGACTACATGGCTGTGGGGGAAAAGGAAAAGGAAAAGGAAAAGGACAGGTAGTAATTGGAAAGTCCGAGAGCCTGTGCCCATGTCAGGGGCTCAATGGGCCTCCTTCTCTCGCTCAATGAATGCGTCATTTGAAGGACCACAGGTTGAAACCAAAACGCGAATTCTAACTGAATCCATTAGGTCTACCTTAACCAAAGGTGCACAGATTTCACAATAATTAGCAACGCATTCCCTGCTGCAGAATTAGGAGCAGGAATCAGACTTTAGTCAGGTTTAAAGGGCACGCAATAAAATATTAAAATGACAACATTAATCACAGAGCACATTGGTACCTGTTGCCCATTTGTAATGGCTCTGGAGGGGAGTTTGGTGAGCTGACTTCCTGAACTGATGCAGTCCATTTGCTGTAGGCACTCCCCCACCCCCGACCAATCCCCCCACCCCACCACTGCCACATAACGCAAGTCCCAGCATTCTGACCCAGCGACATTGAAGGAACAGTAATATATATTCAGGATGGCGAGTGGCTCGGACATGGTGTTGCCCCCCCTGCCCCCCACCTCATGTATCTGCTGCCCTTGGCTGTAGAATTCACAAAGAATATCACACAGTGTATGATGTGAAATTTATGGCACTGTAACATCATTATTCTCTCACCATCATCAAACATTTTATTCGCAAGCACCATTAAAAAAGATGGGTTCAATTAGATTCAGTTCACCTGCTGTATAGCTGAATAATAGATTGGATTAAATAAGGATGTTAGACTGAATTAGAATGAGTCAACTTGGATGAAGACGGACTACATTAGCGGAAATAAATAAATTGAACAGGGAAGGGACAGGATAAAATTACTAGCAGGATCAATTGCTCTGACTTTACTTTTTAATTAAAACATGCTTAAAGATTTGTTTAAGTAGCTTAGCATTTTTATCATCAAAGACATACCTTCTAAAATTTAATGTTTATCAGGACATTAATGCTGTCAGTGTATTGTTGAGAAGGTACAAACTGTACAGACTGGGATCACATCAATTAATAGAACTGAAATCAGTCTAAGGTGTATACTGCGTTTACTAGAGAACCAGTATAGCTTAGTGGAGCATTAATCTAGGGGCTTAAGGTTATGAAAGAATCACAGTCGCAAGACTACTTGAATTACAAGTGCAGACATATGAGGATTAATCCACACAGCAACAATTTCAGCCTTCACCGAGGCTCCTGTTAAAGGCAGATGAGGACACATCCAATGACAAACCGCACATCTAGATGACATCACGGGCCACCCGAGTTGGATGACATCGTATATCACAGTTTGATAACAGCATGCGTCACACGGTTTGATGACATCACAGGCCGCCCAACTGGACGACATCATCAACATAGCGACCCAATACTACCATGAAATCCAGGGAACCAAACAGAAGGGCTGTGCCTCAGGCCTGCTGTCACAAAATGCACATAGTTATCTGCCCCCCACTGCTCCCACTGCTCGCTACCCCCACCCCACCCCCCAACCGCCCCCGCCGCCCCCTGCCACCTGCCTCCCGAACACATGGGCTACATATCAGAAAGAAGATGGCTCTGAAATCTATCCTTGGGGCAGCTCGCTGGAACACAAACTTTGCATACCAATTTGAGAAGTTCCTGCAGAGAAATAGGACGATGACACTTGAAAAAAATTCAACGTTCAGATATTATAATGGATATATTTTGCCCTATTTACAATTTGGCATTCACTACAAAAAAACCCCATAAATTCCATGGAAATTCTCTCAGAGAATCCTCTTTTGAGAATGAGGAACAGGCTGGCATTTCCAGAGGACTTAACACCAATGAACAGCAGAGACAACAAGGTGCAGGGCTGGATGAACACAGCAGGCCAAGCAGCATCATAGGAGCAGAGCATTTGCTAATAACCAGATCATCAGTTTGTGTGGGTGTTGGGTCGATGATTAAACATTGGCCAGAAAACCCCAAAAGAACAGCCTTACTTTCTTCGGAATTGTACCAGGGATCTTTTATATCCATCACAGAGAGCAGATAGGGTCTTGGTTTAACATCCGATTTGATAAATGCCCTCAGACCAGTGTCCAGGCCACTGAGCTGAAGACTTAGCCTTGATTATTGCACTCAAAACTCTGCATGGGTCTTGGACCCATAATCTTCTGACTGAGATGAGAGCGCTTCAAAAAAAGAACAGCATTTCAGGAAAAACTTACAGGGCAATGGATTAAGAAAAAGGATTACCTGAACACAACGGGAGAGGGACCACAGAACTTGTGGAGAGTTTTCTTGATGTTGTCACTAAGCGTAGATTCATCAAGGTACCAGGTGCTCTGGTCTGAAGCAGATGGCCCAGCAGTGGGATCTGTCAACAGCAATCAACTTTTTCAAATGAATTCAAAGTTTCCCACAGATAAAATCTGGTAACTGACAGTTTTACAAAATAATATATATTTATGTAGTCAACAGTACAAGGTATTAAGTGGCATTGTATTTACAGCACAGAAGCAGGCCCGTCAACTCATACGAGCATTTCCAATTTCACCATACCAACATAATCTTCTATTTCTTTCTTCCTCCTGTTTATCGAACGTCCCCTACAATGCAGTTGTCTCAATTCCTTCTTAGTGTTCCACATTCGGGTCAAGTGGAAAGAATTATTTTCTAAGTCGTGCTGTGTAATGTCCTAATTAATATACATAGTGGTCATTTCCCCACACTAACATGTTTGACGTCTGCGAGTGCCAAGAACAAGAATGGGAGTAGCAGCAACATATTTCAAAAGGAATGTATTCGATCCAAACCGCACTCTATATTGAGCTCTAGAAAGTCACACCTCACTGAACCACTTTGCCTCAGAATAAACTCACATTCTTCAGGTCATTAACAACCATGGTCTACCAGCTGATGCAAGGTGTATCTCACAAACTCGCAACTTCGCTAAGAGTGAGTGTTTCACTAAGTCGTTATAAACTGCTAAAAGAAAGAAGCTAGATTTGGCTTTGATTGAGTTGATCTTGCAGGGTGGAGTGTACAGTTTAGGTGCAATTCTCCATTTCATTAGGACACCCAATAATCACATGAGGTTATGTGATAGGAGGATACATAGACAACAGAAAACCAAAGGGAACCAAACCTCCAAAGACAGGATTTTACTTAACATGTCTCATTCTTCCAGTGCAAGATCTTACAAGGGGTCTGTGATCCTCTGGAGACTTCTGTTAGTATATGTAGGTTTGCACATTTTAGTTTCATAATTTCCCAATCTTGCCTATTCACATAACTTCTGCAGCTTCAAGTATGGAGAACCCATCCAGTGTTTAATGACTGAGATGCTGCATGAGAACACTTCATATGAAACAGAAATGGCTGCAATCAGGGCAGTAACAGATTATGGTCGCTAGTCTACAGAGTCTAATTTGTGAATTTCACTCTAGCTATTTGCAGGAGTTAGTTCTGGATAACAGCTCTCTGCAGGATCCATAACCCAACGTATCAAGAGGCAATCTTGCTACATGTGTACTAATTCATGTCCTGTTGTCACATTTCCAGTTGGGATAGTCTGCATAACTCAATGTCATCTATGAGAGAATCACAGATTACCTACAGTGCAGAAAGAGGCCATTCGGCCCACTGGGTCAAAGAAGATCTCACCCAGACCCTCCTACCCTAACCCCATATCCCCACATTTTCCATGGCTAACCCATGTAACATGCCCATTCCTGGACACCATGGGAAATTGCCCATGGCCAATTCACCTAACCTGCACATCTGTGGACAGTGGGAGGAAACCAGAGCACCCAGAGGAAACCCACACAGACACAGGGAGAACGTGCAAACTCCACACAGACAGTCGCCCGAGGGTGGAATTGAACCCAGGTCCCTGGTGCTGTGAGGCAGCAGAGCTAACCACTGAGCCACACCACATACTACCACATGCAAACCATTCCAATCCAATATTATGCTATTGCCCTCCTTTCGCTTTCCCAGTTGACTGTAACAGATTCCACTCATTGATCAGTTTATTTGGATCCTTTTCTCTAAAGCATCAGCCAGTCTATTTTCATTTCTCCCGTTCTCGTGAGACTGATTAAACTTCCTCAAAACCTAGATAATCCTGCAAATCTACACCAAATGCTTCTTCTGTCACTTTTAGGCATAGTATTAGTCATGAGCCAAGGAACAATACCAAACAAATGATGAGTACAGTTTCTCCAAGAAAAAATGCAAACTGTAAAACAAAATTACACCAGAACTCTGTTACCTGGAGCCCCACAGACTGTGTTAATTGCTGTCGACTGGGATGAAAGCAACTCATCAAGAAGTCTTTGTGCAGTGGGGAGGATCTTCCATCAAAAGGAGGGAGACAGAGAGAAATGAGGATACAAAGTGAGAATCCAATAAAACCGGTTTGATTTAATGCTTTCCCATAGGATGAGAGTTTTACAATATTTTACGCACAACTTTGGTCCCGGTCTCAAAACTATAAAACAGAGAAGCTCTGCCTTGTGCTAAAGGCAGTATCTAAGGTTCAGGTAACTGACTGCACTCGTGCTTATAGCTCGCCAACTTTATACAGTTCAATTCTCATGACCATTGGTTCAGTGGTGCTAGGGTCAACCTTAACAGGAGAAGCAAAAACACAGCAGTATCTAGAATTGGACAACTTCAATACCTGCCTTGCAGAACGGCAGCAAACATGAGATGCAAGCCCCAAAATGCCACAGATCGCAGCTTTCAGTTTTTCTTTTATTCTCTCATAAGATGTGGGCATTGCTGGCTGAGTCAGCATTTGTTGCCCATCCCTAGTTGCCCTTGAGAATTAGCTTGAGTGAGGATGCGATGAACACTTGGGAGTCCTTTCACAAGACAAAAGAATATCCTAAATATTCCACCTTGGATTTTCTCCCGACTTCTTATAGGTGCCAGCAGAAAAATCACCGGTACAGAAAGTTTATGCAGATTATATCTGGAATTTGTCCTGCTCATGTGACATGACATGTTAAGGATGGTCCAGACTCTGACATGTTCAAGCTAACTGATCAAAACTATTATTCTTTTTGTATTAATACTTTCTAGTAACAACTTTTCTTACTTTACAAAGTAAGTTATTACATGCATCTCATCTTCTGGTAGGTATCTCTGTAACAATTCTATGGCTTTAAGAGGTGTATTTTGTATTCTTTTTACAGTGAGGTTTTATGGAGAAGCATGGAGCTGTCTGTTAAAAATTTATAAACAGTTTCTGAGGCCTTGGGTTTTTTCAAAGAAGTTGGAACATTAAGAGCAGCCTGAATGGGTGTGTTCAAACTCCCGCAGAACCAGGATTTTTGGTTTTAGCTCTCAGCAGATGTGGTGGGGTCTCAGCAGGGTCTGGGAGCTGCAGTAAGTCTTCTGTTTTCTGTTGATGTTTTCCTCCTGGGCTGCAAAGATTGAATGCAAGACCATCTATTTCATTGACTTTGGCAAGGGTGTGTTTATGGGCTGTTACTGTATCGGAACAGTTAATTAGCAATAGTTACTGTATCTGTTATTTTGTTAAGCATTTCAATAGGGTTAAAGCTAAGCCAATTCTTTTACTGTATTTTAACCACAATGTATGAATAAATTGTGTTTCGCTTAATGTCGAATAGTTTGACCAATCAAACTTCATCTGGAAAGCATCAGCTTATGCTTACATTTAAACTAAGAAAAAGTTACGGTCTAGACTATCTTCCGGATATTTTGAGAGAGGCTTACTCTAGTCCATAACAATCTCCTATAGTCTTAAAACGTGGAACCAAACTACAGCAATGATCTGGGGAATCAGAATCAGCACCTCATTTTCCGGTTCGGAACCCTACAGCCTTCCGGACTCAACGTTGAGTTCAACAACTTTAGGGCTTGAGCTTCTCCCATGTCCTTACCTCAAGTCCCACACACCAGGTCTTGTTATCACAGTCTGCTATTACACACAACCCATTGTTAGCCACTAACAGTCCCCATTAATAGCTATTCATCCTCCTGTCCTGATCGTCACCCACTCCCTTGTCTGTCCAACTGTTTCTCTCTCCTAGAGCTGTATCCCCACCTATCGTTTACACCTTAGCCCTCCCCCCATGGTATTTTCTGCATAAAAACTGACATTTTCCTACCTACCATCAGTTCTGAGAAAGGGTCACTGGACCCGAAACGTTAACTCTGATTTCTCTCCACAGATACTGCCAGACCTGCTGAGCTTTTCTAGTAATTTCTGTTGTTGGTTCAATTCCACTTGCCCTTTTCCCAAGTTTCTGATACAACTTTTTTGTTTGGAAACCTTTATCATAGTGTACCCCTCTCTGGCCCAGAATCATTTCTGGGTTTCGGAATGTCATAAATTACGGAATGATGTTAAAATGCCTAACCACAAATTCAGGAAGTGGAAAATTCCTTTGATGTAAGCTAAAACAAAAATGATATTACATTACAAAGACAGTGGGGGTAGCAGGAATGTCACTGGACTAATAATCCAGACTCCCACACTAATGCTCTGGGGATATGGATTCAAATTCCACCAAGGCACATGGTAAAATTCAAATTCAATTTTAAAAAAAACCCTGGATTTCAAGGCTAGACAAATGGTGAGACTGTTGATAGTTGCCAAAACCCACCTGGTTCACTTTACAGAAGGGAATCTGCTGTCCCTATCTGCAACTCCAGACCCACACCATTTGAAAGGGGCTGGAAAGCCACTCAGTTCAATGGCAAATAAGAGTGGGCAATAAATGCTGGCCCAGCTGTGAACATACATTAAAAAACTATTCAAATATCTTTTACTGAAACAAACACTCTATATTCCAACTTTTTGTGCCTAAAGTACTGTGCTAAAATGATGTCATATCTGCTCAAAGAATTTTCCAACATTTGCCATTGTCCAGCAATAGACAGGAGAGTATTTTGCTAATCTATGATTATTTTGACAAAGTTACAAGTGAAACTATTTAAAAGTTTTACTGATTTTGTTTTTGTTTTACAAACCAGTTTTATTCATTTAAGAAAAGAACTGCTGAAACACATTGGGGCTTAAGCCTGATTCCCAAAGTTTCTGCTGGTTAAGTCATTAACTCCTCACCTGCTGGGGCAGTTCGCTGATCAAATACTGGGCGAATTTTTGTAGCTGATCTCTCTGCAATCGGGACAGCGATTCAGACACTGGAGCGCGCAAACACACCGCCGAGGCCTACAAAACAAAACAAAACAAAGTCATCCTTCTCAAGTAGAAGTTTGGAGAATGCTCTGTGGTGACTTGATGGGAAAGTAGGCCAGGAGGCATTTCTGTGACTCACAATCCCTGAAGTGTGACGAATTGAGATCCCGCATTCAATTCTGGTCTCCTGGTTATAGGAAACATGCTGTTAAACTTGAAAGAGTTTAGAAAAAACTTACAAGAATGTTGCCAGGCTTGGAGGGTTTGAGCTACAGGGAGAGGCTGGGGCTATTTTCCCTGGAGTATCGGAGGCTGAGGGGTGACCTTATAGAGGTTTATTAAATCATGACGGGCATGGGTAGGGCGAATAGACTAGGTCTTTTTTCCAGGGTAGGGGAATAGTTTTACGGTGAGAGGAGCAAGATTTAAAAGGGACCTAAGGGGCAACTTTTTCATGCCGAGGGTGGTCCGTGTATGGAATGAGCTGCCAGAGGAAGTGGTGGAGGCAGGTACAATTACAACATTTAAAAGGCATCTGGATGGGTACATGAATAGGAAGGGCTTGGAAGAAATGGGCCAAATGCTGGCAAATGGGACTAGATTAATTTAGGATATCTGGTCACCATGGACAAGTTAGACCAAAGGGTCTGTTTCCATGCTGTACATCTCCGCGACTCCATGTGATTCAAAGAGGGATTTGCTCTGTCCTGCTTCTCTAAAAGGGGCGGTGTTGTAAATCTGGTGCAAAGATGTCCAGTCCATGGAAAGTAGAGTTCCTTTAAAATTAGACAAAGGAAGCATGAGTGGATGGAGTTAGGATTGCACAGTCCCAGGGTTTTAGTTTGTGCTTTCAGTTGTTGAATCTGGGGTTTTGGGGCTTAAAGCTGCTAGATACAGCTCTCTCAGCTGCTGCAGCAAAAACTCAAACTCTATAACACTATTGTCATGAACAGAACATCACAGACTTGCTGAGTCTGGGTTTTGTGCTTGCTGACATTACTGAACATTATGTACATATAACTGACTGAAGACACTGCACAAGGTCCGCTACAGAGAGGGAGTGTCTGAATAGAGGCAGGCACCTGAAGACTGGAATATGTCGTCACATTATGTAACTGCCTTAAGGTTATCCTGCCTGTCCTGTCTGAAATCTATACAATAACAACAATCCTAAGCTGAACATAAACTCAAGTATTCATAGAAATCAGGAGAGGGCGACGCAATTGTGCTCATTTCCTCTTCACCTTTTGCCCCTTGATTTAGTATTTTTGGAATGCTATTAGTGGCCTCCACCATGAAGACTGATACAAAGTATTTATTCAACTACTTTGCCAATTCCTCGTTCCCCATTATCGCTGCCCCAGACTAATGGGTCTATGTTCACTTTGGCCTACCTTTTTCTTTTACCATACTTACAGAAGCTCTTATTGTCCAGCTTTATATTACTTGCTAGTTTACCCTCAGTATATTTCCTCCCACCGTCTTTGATTTCCGAGTCACCATATGGGGTCACCATATCTCAGACGAAGGGAGAGATAAGGAGGAGAGTCCTTCATGGTAACTTCAGTTGGTGTGGAAATGGAATCACACTGTTGGCATCACGCTGCATCACAAACCCAGCCGTCCAGCCAACTGAGTTACCCAACTCCCAATTAGCAAGTCTTCTAATGTCTCTGTGTGCATAAGTGTGAGAGCACGCAAGTCAGAAACTGCATAGGGTTGGGCTCGCGAAGGTGAGGGAGAACTTTCAATTTTTTTAGCATTAGACAGCACATCGAATACAATAAAATCCCTTTGAAAAGCCCGAACTTCATTTTTTTCCCCAGAGCAGTGCTGTAAAGGCATTAAACCAACCATTACTCATTGAATACAGTTTACTCAGGAACAATGCCAATTGTCTGAGGAGCCATTACTCATTAACAGAATCTTTAATCTTGAGTTCGTTTGACAAATGCCTGTTAACAACCAAGTCTTTATGCTTTAAAAGGCCCAAATGGAGGGAGATTAAGAAGAGAAATTGGAACAAGCCTTGTTGTAGACAGTTAAGGACTATTTTATTGCGGTCCATCAGGTTTTCGGTACGGTACAGAGCGGAGAGAATGCATGGCAACTTCTCCCATTGGCGGGAAGTCTACGACAAGGGCACTAAACCTTAAAGCAAAGTCAGGCCATGCAGGAAAGAGGTTAAGGAACACCTCATGTAAAATTGCAATATAAGGTTAGAATTCTCCTGCACAAAAAGCCGATATTCGCTCAATTATTCATTTAGATCAGAGACTGATGGACTTTTGCTACAAGGGGCTTACAGCCAAAGCAAGTGAATGGAGTTGAAACACAGGTCTGCCATGATGTCATTAAGTAGCAAAACAGACTCAAGGGGCTGAATCATAGACAGCCTACAGTGTGGCAGCAGGCCATTCGGCCCATCTAACCCACAATGACCCGCCGAAGAGCATCCCACTCAGACCCACCATCCTACCCTATCCCCGTAAGTCTGCATTTCCCATAGCTAATCCAGCTAGCCTGCACATCCCTGAACACTATGGGCAATTGAACATGGCCTATCCACTCTAGCCTGTGGGAGGAAACCAGAGCACCCAGAGAAATCCCACGCAGACACGGAGAGAACATGCAAACTCCACACGTGGTCATCCGAGGGTGGAATCGAACCCACGTCCCTGGCGCAGTGAGGCAGCAGAGCTACCACTAAGCCACTGTGTCACCTTTGAATGGCCTTTCTTTGTTCCTGTCTTCCCAGCTACCATGGCAGGCTGAGTCAGACTGTTCTTGACTTTGATATCCTAACCCTCCGAGTTCCAACAAAAAAAGTTATTGGGCTCAAAACATTAACTCTGTTTCTATCTCCACAAAAACTGCAGGCCCTGCCGAGTTTTTCCAGCACCTTCTGTTTTTAGTTGGTTGTACGGTTTTAACTTTACAAAGAAAATAACAACGTAGAAACATTTACAGCACAAAGAATATTACTTAGACATGGTGTTTGAATCAGAGAGAAAGACAGGTTTGCAGCCTAATCCCCATTCTCCATAACGTGACCCATAGTCTTGAGTGTTATGGCATATCAAGGGCATATTCAAGTGTAGATAACACAGTGTAGAGCTGGAGGAACACAGCAGGCCAGGCAGCATCAGAGGAGCAGGAAAGCTGACGTTTCGGGTCAGAAATGGGGGTGGGGAAGGGGGCTCTGAAACAAATAGAGAGAGGGGGAGGCGATGATAGATATTCAAGTGTTCTTTCTTAAGGTGCAATGGGGCGTCCTGCATTGACCACCTTCTCAGGCTGTGTATTTCCCACCAACTGTGATAGAAAAAAAATCTCCTCTACAGTCTTTGTGTCAACTACTCTAAGTCTCTCTCCTAAAGGTCCTTCCAATCCACTTTAGACACCTCATCTCTTACAAGCCCAACGTATCTGATCCCTCCTCAGTGTTAAAAATTCTTTATTCCCAGTCTTGCAAGTGTCCCCAAAACCTGCTTGATTGTGATTACATCCTTTGTGTAACGTAGTAATGGTTATGCCATCAGTAACAGGAGGGGAAGTGTGTTACCCATTGCTCAAGATGGCAGCGACTTATCTTTGTGATCATGAGAAAGGCACCATTCATCAAATCCAAAAGCCTGAAGAACGGGGCAGGACGGAAGGTGGCAAAGGAGGAAAGAAACAAGAACAAAGCCGACACTCTGGGTTCCACTGTTTCCTGGGATGTCTCATCACAAAGATGGCCCGGTAGAGAGGCGATCCCTTCAGTAAGACCCACAGCAAAAATCTGTGGCCTTCCTCTCAGACTGAGGTGCAACTGAACACTGTGATAAATGCTGCCATGACAGCTGGACACGAAGGACTCTTGTGGTGCAGTGGTAGTGTCCCTGCCTCTGGCCCAGGTTCAAGTCCCACCTGCTTCAGAGGTGTGTCATTACATTGCCGAGCAGTTTGGTTAGAAAATAGGTTCGTAAAAAAAAAAACAGGGAGAAACAAAATTGAGAGCTGTACACAGCGCTTTGTGACACAGTGATAGTGTCCCTGCCTCTGGCCCAGGAATCCCAGGTTCAAGTCCCACCTGCTTCAGGGGTGTGTAATAACATTGCTGAACAGATTGATTAGAAAATAGGTTCAAAAAAAAGAAACAAAAAAAAAATACACAGGGCTGTTGTGGTACAGTGGTAGTGTCCACACCCCTGGACTGGGAGGCCCAGGTTCAAGTCTCACCTGCTGCAAAGGTGCGTAATAACATCTCTGAATAGGTTGATTATAAAAATACAGGTTGAAGACAAAAGAGAAATGAGATCTGTACACAGGGTTGTTGCAGCACAGTGTGTAATAACATCACTGAACAGATTGATTAGAAAATAGCTACGGTCTAACTACGATTCTGTGCGGTTCCAGCCTAACCTCACACCCGTTAATTTGGCCACAGGAGGAAAATATTCCCGTCTGCTTTTGTCAGTGCTTTAAAACTATCCACTTGTTCTGTTCCCTCCAGGGACATGCATTCCATTGGCATAAATTCCATCGCAGCTTACTGTACCAGAAGGCAAAAGAACCCAGAGTGAATCAAACTACCTCTTGTGGCGCATTGGTAGTGACCCTAACCCTGGACTGGGAGGCCGAAGTTCGAGGTGTGTAATAACATCTCTGGACAGTGCAATTAGTTTGAGCTTTCTGTCCATCACAGAAAACATTACCGAGATGCAGAGAGAAACAATGTGCCTTTCTTGTGACCACAAGGAGCCCGCAGTTCTTCAAAACGAGAACAATCTAGGTCAGGAGTGTCCTTGCATTTAAGGGTTGTGTGTGGATTTGCCATGGAGTTATTCCTCCATACAGATGTCAGGTTGCTCGTAGAAACAGACCTCAGCATTCGGATTTAGAGTTAGACCCTTAGTGCATCATCAATGGGATAGTGGGCCTTTACAAATGCCCACATCCACATAATGCAAGTAGGACTGGACTGAGCAACTGGTCTGTCACAGCTTTGGGACCTGCAATGGGGGCCCCTCTGGTCTAGAAAGATTTGT